CGCATTGATCACTGGAATGAACTTCGTGTCTGATGGAAGGTGGAAAATGGAACATGGCCCAGATGCCTTCAAAGTTTTGCAGGAACATGAAAGGGTACCGTGATGCCTCCCACGTGGGCCGTTGAAACGACCAATAAGGAAAACAACTTGTGGGTGCCAGTGATATATGATATACCGAACGAATCAACGCAGGATGATCATGAGGAGAACAAAGTTCCGGAGAGCGGCTATGATCAGGTATCGATGGAGACGCGAGGTGTATCGATGGCGGGAAGTTGACTTTTATGGAAAGAAGGCTTAGATTCGAAGCGGGGGTGTTCCATTATAGACATTCCGGACAAAGTCCAACCGGCCCCGCACTAAATGGAAGCACGATGGGTGATAGATTAGATGCCGGACTAGATAAGGCTGCGATTAGGCAAATTGGAAGCTTTCGCGATGTCAAATGTTTAAAGATGATTATCATACCAATCGTGGAATACGCTGGTTGATCAGATGCACATCAGCACAAGACACTAAGAGATACAAACGGTGGCGCAACAATAAACCTAAGTCTGTCAATATTTTAATCTGTCACATTTATCGGGAATCAGATCTATCGATATCGCCGATTTTGTTAGAACTCCAGGTTTTGCGGTCGACTGTTCATTTGATTTATCTAGATCTAGCGATTTCTCAGCGAATGCGACGTGACAGAATTTGGCTTGGAGTTTGGTTCAAGATGTGCCTGGGAGGCGTTAGAGCGTCTCTGGATGGACTCTCCGTTGATGGCCCTTGTCCACGTGCTCTACCTTCGATGGCGCTTTGATTCGAGCCCTTTCTGCTAAATGAATTGTAGCATCGCGGATATGAGTGGAACGAGCTTCGAATTCGGCATTTGGTCATTAACTTGGAGACAAAAATCCACCCAAATCTTGCAAGCTCATCGAGGTTTTCCGTTGACCAGCGGCTCTTTAGCGCATCGTGAGTATTGCTATATGCTTCATGTGCACCAATAGTCTGAGTGGGTGATGTGACGCTTCGGAATTGAGTAGATTTCACTTAATCGACAGCTAGATCGACCACGACAATCTGAATTTTGAAGCTACATACATTGATCGTAGTTGCTCTGGAATACTAGTAGCGTGCCACTCAGCAACACCGCCCTAACCACGCATCTGGGATCCTTATGATCTGTCGAGCACAGACAGCTGATGTGGGGAAGTCAAACGGTTGCCTTAGATCCACACATCATCTGTCTGAGCACAAAGCAGACGAAGAAGCGACTGTTATTCGTGGAAGCCCAAGTGGCTGATAGTACGGGAGATCACTGACGACAATAACCAACCCAGTCTATCATCCATCTGGGCTACAAAGAAGTAGTAAAAATTGTTCATCAAGAGTGGACATAATGTGTAAGATTGGCCATCGGATATCCGGATCAGTTATCGCTGAGATAAATCAACGAGGATCGTCTGTGTCAAGTAAAATTCAACAATATCGAATGTGATCGGTTTTTAAAAACTTACAGGTCGAGTATTGCCTGTCACGAATGCGCGTGACAAGGACATCGGGCGTGGTGAGTGGAGAGAAGAGAAGAGAACCGAAGCTTCGAGTCAGAAAGCACCAAGCGCACCTGCGAAAGTATCAATAAGATATTGACCACGAGATTCTGACATACATACATACACCAGTCAGATATCAGGGCCCTTGCAACGATCTTTTTCCACCCTGCGAAGTAGCACGACTGTCAGCGTAAAGCACCGAACGAGATACATACATACAACACACCCGTTGATATTGATCAGAGTCGCCCTGGAGCGAGCAGATGACAATTTAAAGTAAACTGTTCTTAAAATTGTCCCCTGCTCGCCTAGGTCGTACGCGAGTAACGTGTCTGAGCCCAGACAACTGATAACCTGAGAATTCCACATTTTAAAAGCTCAAGATTATCAGCTGTTTGAGCAAAAGAACCAAAGGAAGAAGCGTGCACGATCTGTAGAAGCTCAGATGGCTGGTGACGCAATAGCTCTGTTGTATATACTGTGTCATTATCCATCTGGGCTGTTCAGATCGGGCGCGATGCAGAGATCCCATAGACCAAGGAAAGTAGAAGTAGCGTGTCTGAGCTCAGACGGCTGATAATCTGGGGATATCAACAATACCCCAGTGATCGTCTGTCTGAGCACGACAAATGAAGTACGAAGAACTGCTAATGACCGTATAATAGTGAGGCCGAAATGAGTTCAACGGGGATCGATGGGTCATGAGTGATGAGTGAGTGGGAGTTAAGATATGGAAAGAACATACTTTTATATCTAAGCGAATGGCTCGTCAAAACGGTGTAAAGGGGATTCCATCGTCAGCGGAGTGGAGCTCTTTACAATAGTGCATCGGGTATGGATGGTCTGTTGAAGTCTCGCTAGTGATACGTCAGTCAGCGTAAATCGTCGAACGAGATTATGACATACGTACACTCATAGATTGAGAGTGGCCTTGGAGCAGCATATCGAAGGTCAGACAGCTGCTAAAGGAGATATCGCAAGAATGAACGAATCATCTGTCTGAGCACAAATAGTGATCGTTGATTATAAAAGCCCAGATGGCAAATGATACCATGACAATGATGAAGCAATCAAAGGATGGAATTATAGGTCATCCGAACGAACCAACAGAAAGCGAAGGGAGCAGAGAGGAAAAGGAAAAATAGTGCTCAGACAGCTGATAGAGCGGATATGGAAGTACCTGTCCGCAATCTCATCTGCTCGAGCACAAAGAAAGGGTAATTCGATAAAAGCCCAGAAGGCTGATGATACGATGGTCATGATGGTCCCAGGATCACAATATGACCATCCATGTGCGAAGGGACTGTGTAAATAGCGTGTCTGAGATCAGATAATCATACCTTCGGGGCCCCAAGTCTATCGTCTGACGGTGGTTGGTCAAAGCGCACATGGGTGATGACACAACAGTCCAGGCCATGCTGTCTCATCATCTATCTGCGATGCGGAAATTATGTGGACGATCCCAAGGGTAGCTGATAGCGTAAAAGATTTCATGTTTATGAAATGTGGTGGTGATTGGAAGCCTAGGCCCTGTTCTTGTTCAAGCAAGGTGAGCCTAGCAATAGGGAATGAGTGCGTGTGAACGATGAATGGAAAGGGAGGAGAGGAGCGGGAGTGAGCGGTTTAAATAAGGGACCGAAGGGATAGATCGAGCTATCAGATCGGAAATATCGTAAAGTAGAAGAATTAAATTGAGTTTCCAGTTGACATCTTGATAGCGGCGATACGCCGATTCCCGAACATACGACGGGCGGGAATCTTTATCGGGAATTGGATCGCCGATTTTGTCTGACGACAATAAAACCAGATTTTATTTTTTTTGGATTGAATTTAGAGTGATTGTTCATTGTGCTGAATATCGAGGACATCGTAGAGGACGTTGGTTGTGCTAGGAACGTGTTTTTGGTGAGGCTAGATCCGAGATAGTCCACGTGTTTTGTATTGATTCTCCGCTTTTGTAAGTAAAAACGCAGGGAGAACGCCCTTCACCCCCAGCTGCCGCCTCCTCGTCTTCTCGTTCAAAGCTTCAATTGTCAAGAACGTTTTTACTACTAGAGTGTAGGCTGGCAACGGTTTTATTTTTCAGATTTTAAAGGTCAAAATATTAGATCGGGCATCTGGTTTCAGATCTCACCGCCGACATCGGGAGATCCACCGCTAGTATGGCCTCACCAGCTCGTCGTGCAAGACCTCAAGTCACCGCAGAAGTTCAAGTCAGACTACCACCAATAAAATCATTACAACTAGCACATACAACAACAGAACAAGACACCGTATACCCAACACCACTAAGCGCTGCATGGCCTCCAAATCAACAATTCGCAAGAACAACTCCCCTAGTTCCAACAACACTAGATCCAACCGCCTATCCAACTCCAATCTCTGCACGTCCTCACAGAACTTCATATCCACAACAGTTCCAGAACTCTTCTTTTCACTACGTACCACCAACAACTGCAGAGAGTACAACAAGCACTTCAAGTTCAACGAGAAATTTCTTAGACGACAAGTCTCTTCCATTCGCTCACGACAGAAATACAACCTACCCCCGCTATCAACATCCACCACGTGACCCACAACAACCAGACGATCGAAGCGTGTACACTCCAGCAGAAGCACGCGCAGCCTACCAGACAAGCCCTAGCCCTTATACACAAGACACACGTCCTTATCCACAGGACCCGCGTTACACCCAAGACAACCCACGCCCACCTTACACAACAACTCCTGACACTAGATACGACACACGTGCAACCTACCCAGCACAAGATGCGAGGACTTACCAAGACCCGCGGTATCCGGATCAGCAGAGGTCCTATCCAGCTGATCAACGAGGCTACCAGACCAGCCCTGAGATTGAGAGGGCCTACCAGGATGCCCGTTATCCCCCTCAGGACGGCCGTGCAGCCTATGACGCCCGCTATTCCGATGCCCGTGCCTACCCTCAGGAATCGAGGGCATATGTCCCTCCGCCGCAGCCAGCTCCACCGCAGCCCCAAACGCAAGACACGCGATACACCCCCACACAAGAACCCCGAAACACATACCCTCCACCCGCACCTCCCTACCCGCCAGCCCAGGAAACAAGACCGTATGCACCACCTCCGCCTGTAGAGCGTACTTATTCGCAGTCCAATACGGAGGTGCGGGGGTATCCGGTGGAGAGGCAGCAGCAGCAGTTGGGTTATTCGCATGATGCGCAACAGGGAAGGGCCTCCTCTGTGCTAGAATCGCAGCCACAATCCCAATTACCTCACTCCCAACCTTCACGCGAACAACGTGGATCAACTTCCAACGACCGTAATTTAGGCGTAGTTGAACCTCGTGCGGTAGATGTCAGGCCTACCTTATTGCAGAGGCAGTCGGTTGGCGATGCGAGACCTCTGGCGGTGGAGACTAGGGGGGTGGGTGTAGGGTTGGAAACGCAAGTGAGGGGAGCGGGGATGGAAACGCAGCCGAGGGCAGTGGGGGTGGAGACGCAGAGACCACCAGCATTCGAGTCACAGAGGGCACCTGCATTCGAGTCTCAAAGGCCATCCACGTTCGAGTCACAGAGACCACCAGCGTTCGAGTCGCAGAGACCATCGACGTTCGAGTCACAGAGGCCACCAGCATTCGAGTCACAGGTTAGGGGAGCGGCGGTAGAGACACAGACACAAGGCAGGCAGGCAGTGTTTGAGCCTCAGCCCAGGCAGACGAATTTGGAGACGCAGGGGAGACCACCAGTGTTTGAGACCCAGACGAGACCTACGGCGTTCGAGTCACCAGCAAGACCGACGTTCGAACCTCAGAGGCAGACAATGCTCGAGCCTCAGCCAAGATCTACAGTTCTCGAGTCGCAAGCGAGACCCGCGCCATTCGAGGCTCAACCAAGAACTGCGGTGCTTGAATCACAGGCAAGACCACCTATGATGCTGGAAGGTCCAGCAAGATCTACGGGGTTCATTTCGCAGTTACAGTCTCAGTCGCAGTCTCAATCGCAAGCATCTCAAAGGGTGGTAGGAGATGACAGAATGGGCAAGGAAGATGTTATTCGGGAGGTGAGTCTTTCTTTGTCTTTTGATGATGGGTGAGTATGGACGCGTGCTGACGTTTGTTCTTTAGATCGTTCAACATTGTACTGCGCTATATAAATTCGCAGATCATTATTGTGAGTTTCCGTCTTCAATTCTCTTCATTCTATCCTATCGTCAATCACCCACTCTCAACACTAACCCCCCTCCCACAGCCGCCCTCCAATCTTCCAACCCACACATCCAACCACCCCCAGAAGAACTCGCAGAAATGACAGCCCGCGCAGGAGAAGTCGTCCGTCTCCTCGAAGCACTGCGAAACGACGCACCCATCTTCCCATCCTCCCTCCTCTCCGCATCCGCATTCACTTCCGGACACCACGCACTCGTCTCAGTGCACCCACACTCCCTAGAAGTCAAAGGACACATGACCTCAAGCTCTAGTCTAGGAATGGGCATAATGGACGTAGACGCGCCCGATCGGGCGCCGAAGCGCCCTTGGGAGGATGTAGAAGGTATGCTACCTCCCGGATCCGGGCCTGGCATTGCCCCGTCTTCATCGGCAGGGCACGTTCATGTTCCTCTCGTATCTACACCGGGGTTAGGAGCGGGGCAGATCTCCGGAACGGCAATGACAGCGAGTATGGCACAAGATCAAGACCGATCGATGGCCGAAGCGGATATGGAGCTTATAAGGACTAAGAGAGCGCTTACGACTATGGCGGCTGCTGCTGCGTTGGGCGGGAATGGATCCGGAGGGGGTGGAGGGAAGAATAAGTATCGGAAGCGGAGTGTGAGTCGTTTTATGTTTTATTTGGATGTTATTCGTGTTTGACCGTCGTGTGTTGTGGATAGCGCGCGACACCTCCTGGAAAATGTCATTCTTGCAATATTCGAGAAACGCCAGAGTGGAGACGGGGACCGGACGGTGCGAGGACGTTGTGTAATGCGTGTGGGCTGCGTATGTGATTTTTTGATTTTTTTGTGGGATTGGTTGTTGATGGCTCTCTTTTGATGCGTTTACCACTCAATTATTTATCCACGCGCTTAGACTACGCGAAACTCGTGCGAAAACGCGAGAAAGCCCTCGCAAATGGAGAATCGCCCTCGATCCAGCGCATCGATATGGAGATGTTACGCGCGAGTGCCAGAGCTGCGGATGCCGACAAGGGGGCACGCGCTGCATTAGGAGGGGCCGGATCTGCCGGTGGAACCGTCATGAATTCAGTCGGCGGAAGCGGACATGGGAGTGGAAGCGGCAGCGGTAGTGGTAGTGGTAACGGCGGAGGAGACGACAAGATGAACCTAGGCATCCACCAAGGCTCGTTCCAGATTAACACAGACCCTGGAGATACGATGCAGGATCAAGATCCTAATCTGAATTCGCAATCTAGCGCGGGTGGAAGTGGGAGTGGGAGCGGGACGTATGCGCGTCCTCCGCGCCCTGCGAACTCGAAGCGTTCGTCGTCCGCTAGGGTGATACAGTCCCCTGGGCTTGGGGTTAGTATGGGCGGTCAACATCCGTCTGCGGGCGGTTCGCATCATCCGTCTGGGCAGACGCAGTCTATGTCCCATCATACGACGCCTTCTGGGTCTCATTTGTCGACGCCGTCTGTGCAGCACCATCAGACGCCGTCTCACCACCAGACACCATCTACGCAACACCATCAGACGCCGTCTGCGCATCATCAAACGCCATCTACGCACCATCAAACGCCATCTGTGCAACACCACCAAACGCCGTCCATGCCCCATCACACGACCCCTCATCAAACTGCTAATTCGTCATCGGGGTCTACGTCACGTCACCCACCTGCTGCGTCTCATACGCCTGTAGCACAGCCTGCTTCCCAGGGGCATCATCAGTCTTCGAATACTTCTGCGCATCATCAGCCGACGACGCAAGGCCATCATCAATCTACTGCACAAGGGCATCATCAATCTGCGTCGGCTCAAGGGCACCATCAGCCAACGGCGCAAGGACACCATCAATCTACATCCGCACAAGCGCATCATCAATCTGCGTCCGCACAAGGACACCACCAACCACACCACCCTCCATCTCGTGGACCGCCGCCTACGCCGCCTTGGTACCTGCCCGCCACTAATCAGTCGCATTCGATGTTGAGGCAGTGAGGTTTAGAGAGTCAATCATTTTAGGTTTCGATCGTTACCCACAATAAGGAAGGGGTACGATGATAACACACCGGTTACCTGAGGGGCTATACCTATTCGTGATGGCTATGATGATATCACACTGGTCGCCCAAGGGGCTATACCCATTCATGCTGATCTGATGAGGTTCGTACTCATCGATCCACCCACATCGTTTTTCAATTTCTCTTGCACATCTCAAATTTTCTGTTGTTGTTCTTTGTATTACGCATTGCACTGTCCATCTGCTCGGTACTCTGACTTCTTTCAAGACTTTGCTTCGTCAACGTTTCGAATGCGTTGTTGTAATTCATCTTCTCTGTTGCATCTTTCATCACCCCTGCACCCCCTGTCTGTCCTATATGTATATCGCATATAATGATTTGGTTCTGTAATGAACTTGTAATTTTTTTTCTTGGCTGTTGCCTAGAGTGTGTAATCCATGATACGACGATCCGTGTTTTTTACTATCTTGTGATGTTTTTGTCACTATTTGTTTCGGCAGTTCCTACTTACGATGTCGAGATCTAAGAAGTCCTGGAAGCACTCGGGTAGATCTAGATTGATCGGGGTGAAAGGAATCCGCGGAATATAAATCTCGATCGATTTGGGGGCGTCAACATGTCATTCTCGAAAACGTGGCATCTAATCGATCGTGGAGATCCTTATCGTTGTTTATCAGATCTTGTCTTTGCTATCGATACAGATTTGGGATGATCATGGATTTTGACTGTCATCGGGATAGCAGTGAGTGAGCAAGTACTATCTTTGCATGGATGTACTTATGATGGCTAGATCATACGGTTGCTGTGAGTCATACAGGATTGAGGTGATCAGTGTGCTCACCATCAAGTTGATTGATCTGGAGAATTTGCCAGATGCACTTTATCATAACCGCCCTTGCCATCGATATTGATCTCCGGCTTCGACTCCCCTGATATGGTCAGGTGGTTGCCAAAGAGTCCGGACCTTGACATTGAGCATCTTTTTTAAAAGCGGGAAGCTTGGACATCGCGATAACGTCGGTGTTGGCCCTGGGCCCTGGCGTCCGGGCTTTTGACGCGGTCGTGGAGCGGCTAAAATGCCTCGTCAAGCTTGTTCAGGATCTGTGAAGATCAGTCTTTGTCGTTATAAACTACTGTGACAGTCCCAGCTTAATCCGGACAACTACGTTGCCTACTCTTCCTGTCGTCGTGACGGTCTCGTGGCTTGAAATAAATTACTTATGAGGTGCTTCAGGTTTAATCACAATATTGACGCAGTGCAGGTATCTCGGTGTCTTACTAAGTACGTACTCCCCCAGCATCATGCAATATGTTCTATATGCTTCAAATATGTGAGCTCTACGTCGATCCATGGACGTCTAGACTCTAGACCCTCTTACCTTTTTATGATTCGATTGCACGTTGTGACATCTCGTATAACGACTGGGCCCAAGCACCTCTACTGCGTTAAAATCACCCTCTTTTTCTAACGTTTGAGGTAGCCGAGCTCGAGTGATAGACAGAAAGAATTGTCAGTGTTTAGATTTATAAGTTGGATGGTGCACACTGAACAAAGTAACAAATCGAACAAATCCACATAGTCAAAATAGACTCGGATAAATGATGTAGCGGAAGCAATCGGCGACGTCCAACTTCAAGTTCATAGAGAAATGTTCTCACGCCGTCTTCAAGGCCTCCTCTCTCAGACACTTTGACCAACGAGTACCCCTGGACTCGTGCACGTCGTACGTTGCAACATATAGCACCCTGTTACTTCAGCTGGTGTATAGGTAACTGTGCGTTCGTTCCCATATGATGAGCCATGTTGACAATCCAAACCCCATTCAGTCTGACATCGAGTCACGACTGAAGAAATATCAGAGCCGTCGTTAGGAGAACAAAATATCTTCGCCAGCTCACCTAAAGGAAGGTCGCCGCATAATGAACCTGCACGAGGAGCTTGTATCCGATCTGGACCGCTTGCCAACTGAACTCCTATATCATATTTTTATTCACTGTCTTCCCAAAACCGGCTACACGTTGCCCAACTCAAAATCACCTCCTATGTTACTCACCAGAATATGCCGACGCTGGAGGGAGGTTGCTTCGGACATGCCCTCCTTATGGTGCAGACTGTCCATGGACATTCACCACGTTACTAGCAGAAACTGGCGGAAGGCTGTCTTCTGCTATGACTCATGGCTCAAGCGAACACGAGGGCCGCTCTCCTTAAAATCATGTGCATCAAAAACGACACCACTGACCTACGAACCATTTTACAACCTTACATCTCCCAGATTTCCTCTCTCAACATCACGTTGGACGAGGCTGTCGCACCTGAAATTTTGCTCAACGACCTCCCGGCATTTCAGGAGCTTCGAGTTCACATATTTCACAATATTATCGTGAAAAAGCGTGATATACTATCACGTATTTTACCACCCATTTCGCGACTCTTCACTCTGCACAGTCTCGAGTTGGAACTAATGACCTGCCACGACATCAAGTGTTTATCTGGCCTTGACATAGCATGGCCCCTGACAAATGTCAACATCGGTTTATGCCACCCGTCCACTATCATTGGCTTGCTGCAACTATTTCCAAACCTGTCCTCGTTAGAAACCTATATACTCAGTGGCGATGGATTGTCCTTCGAGCCATTCACCCACTCTATCATTCAAAAAATTTCCATTGAAACCGTTTTCACGACTCCCACAGACTCAGAACGAGACTCAGTGGTTCACTTGTTGATGCACTCACGCTCCCCAATTTGCGCGTGCTTCATGTTGATGGTAGATCGTGGCCTTGTGTTGAAGATTTGATTTTGCAGTATGGTAAGGTAAATAGACACCCGCCAGATGTCGAGCTGTGTCTCCGGTTTGGTCATGCATACATGCCCTTATTCATTCCCTTGGAGCAGTTGCGGATCACTTGGTTCATTTTTATTGGCTACGCGTTTTGCAAAGCGATGACATTGAGTTACATTGCGTTACGACTCCCACGAAGACGTAAATTTGAGAGTCAATTCAAGCTTTGTAAGTCCATCCGAAAGAGTTTTCCACATACTTTCTCTCGGGTTATATAAAAATGCGCCCCTACAAACGAAGCCTAATTTGAATTCATCATCTCTCGAAGATGTCCTTCTCTCGCTGCGTTCACGCTTTCAAACGAGCAGTGAAATGGTTCAGGTTGACTTCGGCAGAGTCAGCCGCAGGTTACTGAATACGCACTAGGTCACTTACATCACCAAGCCGGCAGTGAACTCCGGCTTCACCTCGATCGTGTTTCCGTTTGAGTCTTTGGCATGATCGATGCGCATGACGGCGAGTATGGTAGCAGCTGCAGTCCACAAACTGTTCTCTGCAAACCAACGACCTGCCAAGGGAATTTGTCATCCTCAACACTGCCAGAATCAACCATGAATCAGCCTACCAGGACAAATACGCCTGCAAGGGCCAGTAAATAATTGAAAATGATAGTGATTGTGGAATATTCACCTGCCATGACCAAAGGCAAAATGGTTGACGAAAGGGTCCTTCAGCTTCCCGTAAACTGTTAGATGGCGACTAGGATCGAAGCGTGATGCATCGGAAAACATGTCTTCATCCCGAGACAGTGTCCTGACCCACGCTGAGCTTCAAGCCGCCATCACATGGACTCCACCGTGACATACCACTGGTTAACCATCACTATCGCACCTAATCGAATTATATGAGTCAACGGCAACTTCGACTCATACGACTTCGAACCTTTGGGTATAAAGTACCCGCCGTAAATATCATCATTTGTTGTCGCATGTGGAACTCCTGTGCAAGGGGTCAATTATACAGAGTTATATTTGCGCGGACTGACCTAGGGGGATGATAGGATACCATCTTAGGACCTCGAGGAGAATGGCATCAAGGTAGGGCAGTGACGCCCTATCATCAAGACACGGCATTCTATCATGCCTCATAACTTGATCAATTTCTGCACGAGCCCGGGCTTGGACGTCAGGATAGAGCACCATAGCCATCAGGAATGTCTGCAATACAGATGCAGTCTGCAGGACATCAAAGTAGGAATCAGGACCGCTTAAGTAGCGACTCATGGTCTCCATGCCACCTAAGATGCCGTATTCACGTCAATGAATGAACTCTGTCCAGGTATAAAAAAACTCTTACCCATGTATACCGTCAATGCAACAGCCTTCATCGTGTCTTCGTCAGCGTCGTCGTGAGCTTGACTGAGAAAGTCAGCGACTAATGAGTGTGAAGCAGTACCATTTGCCTTCACGCAAACAGGTCAGGCGAAATTTGAAAATTTGCATCCACAACTCTGCACAAACATACCATCTGTGTCTTCACTTCGCTAAAGGGCTCGTTCAAAAGCTGCTGACATAATTCTCTACAACGTCCTATCAGTGCAAATGCTCCACCGAAACACCAAAACGGCAACTTTTCGACTGCAACCTCATGCTGAATGTTCAAAATTATGTCGTAGACAGAAGCACTCACGGAATGGAAAGGCTGTGAAAATAGCAGCCTTCTCGGGAGAGATAATATATCTGCCAATATCAACGAGTTCGTGCACACGGGTAAGAAGTGAGTCTTCATGTCCATGAGCAAGGTGTCCGTATGTCACGGCCATGATTAGGGATGCCGTGTATCTGTCACAAGGATTGATTGTCAACTGGACTATACATCACAACGACACCACTAAGTTAGGCACGAACGCTCGAGTGTGCTGCTGTAAGTCACTAGTGGCATTTAAGAGATTAATGGCTAGTTGATTTGCGTGGCGAGAGTACATCTCGTGGTATGAGACCGAAACTTCGGCCCTGAGGACTTGATGGAATATTTTGCGATGTTGTCGTAAAGTCTCCCCGTACGGAAGGAGCACAGTATTGAAAGCCAGTCCAGATCTGCGTTGTCAGTGGATGAAGAACAAAATGAATGAGAACTGGCAATGCATACAATTTGTTGGTGCGAATAACGGGACGAGTAGAGTAATTCGCAGAACGCTTGTCCAGCAACTCCCGCGCGATGGTTTCGGAGTTTATGATGATCAAGTCGATCCCAAGTATGCGGGAGTGAATGATTTTTCCTATGATATTGAATCCAAGAGCTTGGCAAAGAGGCCATTGGTCTGCTACTAACCATATGTCTTTCCCCACGCAGTATATGTGAGCCAAGGTCGTTTAGTATCCAATTGCAGCGCGTTACCCAAAAATGGTAGCGGACGGGGGCCAGGCGGCAGAGGTAAAGGGTAGACACGTCTGCGAGTCAGACCCGAAGCGACAACCAGGGCAACAATACACGGTATCCCTAAAGCAAGAATATGAGTGAAGAGCATGGAGAAGGATTATAGTTGAGCCCAGGACATGCCAGTTCGCCCTATAAATGGGGTCTTTGATACTGAAAATGGTCACTTCAAGTTAGAGGTTAACGTGAACGACTCATCCGGTGAGAACATGACAGTTCACCAAGTTGGGACCGAGGACTTGCAAATTGAATTGTGTTGTTGTTACAGGCTATCGGCGGGGGTGCTCAGTACAAACGAGTTCCTAGCCGACTACTAAAGGGGACAGAAAGGCCCCGTGTGTCCTATTGAACACGTCGGTGTCTGGTAACCTGTCATCATTCGAACCTTTCTTGGTTCCTTCGAACGACTTCAAACCCCGGTGTAGGTAAACTGTTATCATTCGCAGACCTTTCTCGGTTCCTTCGAAACCCCGGTGTCAGGTAACCTGTTATCATTCGGACCTTTCTCGGTTCCTTCGAACAACTTCAAACCCTGAGCAAAAAAAGTCCAGACACTCAGGCTCTCACGTCATTCACATAAGGCTAAATCACCGTTAAAATATGAATGGCGTGAGTGAAGATTGGCATACCTTGACGAGTGATACTTCTCGATCGCGTGTGGAGCGGGCGTGTAATAGTCGAATGAGTTTAGTTAGGCGACGTTCACTTACTTTTCCTCCGCCTGCACAGTGACAAGTCATCGATCATCTCTGAACGTGATGGTAAGAGTTGCGCGTGCATAGAGCCTTCCCTGTACGTGCTAGCAAAGTCATGTAAGCATATGGGCTATCATCGTCAGTAATAAAATAAAGCCAGCTGTGCAAGGCGTTGCCAAACACACGCAAATACGTTCTCAAGTTCACGGGCCGTTGCTCAATCTAATATACAGTCCTACATAGTACATAGTACATATGCGCATGGCTGAGGCACAAATCGAAGAAGCTGAAATATTAAGTATTCACTTACCTTGAGGCTAACTTGACACTCAGAGAGGAAAGTTCCACGGAGGCCAGCGCTGCTACCGCTTAGTTTTAGTGGCCTTGTGCCAGCCTGCTTTTTACCCTCGACACGAAAGCTCAATTATCTTACTTGCCGTTTCAATCTGTCAAAAGTCAACTGCCAGAGGAGCAACCCATCATGTCCTTACAGCAAGACCAAATAAACCGCTCCAGCATCAGCCATATCCCAGCTGCGTTCCTTCGTTCATTCCGAGTCATGTCAGAGCCTCGTTATGGACTCACTTACCTACCCTTCCACAGCCCACATGGGCCTCGTTCCATGCCGGCGCTTGAGTGGCGTTTCAAGATGACAGATTCTTCAAATTATTGGGACTACTTGAAAATCGGGATAATCATGACACGAAATGTTCACTGTGTCGCATCGAGTATTACAAATGTACTCCATCACCATCTGCAAGTTGTTGCATGTAACGGTTTCGGTAATGGCCATGTTGAACGCGAGTGCTGTGGATTGTATATCAGTTATTGGATTCATGGCTCTTCCTCCGAGGCTATAGTTTCTGTGGACCATGACGTATACCAGCAAGACATTCCATCCAAACAGTCATCTAAACTGATTGATCCTCCATCATCCGAAACCTGCGCTCATCATACCGCATACCTTTTTGGTTCCCCTTGTGATCTAGCGTGAAACCTCATTTTCGCATATGGACGCTCTGGACCCTCCCATTTCCTTCATCTTCTACGTCTTTCGCGCTTGATGTATCAACTGTCCTATCTGTGGTACACTGCCAGGCTTCCGCGTATCATATATACGAGGACGAGAGCCACTGCGTCGCTGATACCGTGCGGAGGAGCTTAATAAAACTATTCCCTGAGGGTGAAGCATAGTGCATGCTCTCGTTGCCGCGGGATTACATCAGGGCTGATGATCAACTAGAGTCGCAGGGATACTGGAGACACTCAAGCGGGTAGAACAACGTCACAACTCACGAAGCTAGACGAGCAAAGGTGGGCTGTTCTCGGCAAACCTGATCTTGCTTTATCAATAATCATTGACCTTGCAGTGGCTTGCGCAAAGATCGAGATGAAAATTCGGGAGCGACAGCATAAAATCAACCAGACACAGACCGAGATTGAGCAACTTCGTGCGAACCTTGCAGCTTCGGAGGCTGGCATTTGCTATCCTCATAGTTACGCCTAGCTTCCCATCGATCTTCCATGCTGCTTTGCTTTTGCTACATACCACCGTACGAAATGGCCTCACCATGGGCATATTCTGACAATTATGTTTCCCAATTTCATGCACTGGATTATCAGATTTCCATTTTAATTTTCCTCGCAAGGCTTGCTTCGGTCGGCTACTGCATATTTGAGGTGTTTCCGCTTTGGCACAGGGCGCAGTTTGGAAAACTAATGTACCTTGGTATGCTCACCCTGAATAGCTTCCGCCTGTTGAAATTCGTTGAGATATTTGTCCAAAGCCTCTTGTAAGTTCCAGGTTCGAAGCTACAACATCATTCTTCATTACATAGTATACTAAACCTCACCTCAATCCTACAGATTTCCTCCGAGTCCGTCCAGGAGTTCGCAGTCCTCGCAACTTTCCGAAGGCCTAGTGCCCATAATTAATGTGAGCCAATATCTGATAACGACATGTACAAAATGTCAAGCTCTCAAGGGCCATTTCGCTGTCAGGTCGATACGTTGCCCGAGGAGCTATCAGATCCTCCGATTAGATGTTGATGTCGTCCCGTTGGATTCTTGATCATGTATGATAAGAAGTTCGTAAACCCCTATTACGGAATTGACACTAAACTCTACTGGCGGCTATCCTGTCAGTATGCAGTATGGCATCGACCTAGCGAATAAGATGGATGGGACCGTGACACTTGTCGGCTTTAGAAGAATATTTCAACAAATTCAGCTGGGTTCAGGCCCATGAGCCTGGCTCAAGGCCTCTCAAGGCCCAGGTGAGTAAGATGCATGGGACCATGAGACTTATCGACTTCTGTCGTGATTGATTGATCTTCCATTCCTGATGCCATTGTTAAATAGCGCTAATCAGAAAGGTACCAATATTAATGGTACTCAAAGTAAGATTCAGAATTCTCGCTAAGCTCGGTAAAGCTCGGTAAGAAGCTCACCAAACTCGGGGCTTGCCACGCACCTGACATGCGGCAGACTTCGGCACCCTAGCGGACTTCAAAAGTTATGCCTGTCGTTCAACCACCACCTCGACGTCGCTCTGCGCGACTGAAAGCTTTACAGACACCCTTTCCAAGGGGCAAAAACGCCATGGATCCAACACAGGGGCCGGTCACTCGCGGGAGGGGTAGCAAGAGTAGAGGCACACGGCATCCTGCTGTGGGAGGAGGGTCAGATCACCCCAAATTCCAGATACAGTGGCTATCTGCACCTTTCCGCACCCAGAAAGTCATCGACCACCTCCATGACCACCCAGCTGACTGCCGGATCCTATTTTCCTCTGATGCAAAACGACCACAGAATGATAGTGACCGTCCCTCAGGCAAAGATAAACTTTCAGTCTGCGCTGTTATTGCGAAGTATGTGTTCAAGAATGATGCTGACTATGTGAAGCATTACGCGGACGAGCCCGACAAATTTCGAGACTCGACGAATAGTCACATCAATGGGTACATTGTTCTGACTCTCTTCCTCAAAGTGTACTAATATTCGTTTCACAGACTCAGAAGAAAGTATCGCGAGTCCTATGACAAGTTACACTCAACCGGCGCTGGTATCATGCCAGAGGATGAAGCGCAGAATTTGCACGGTGCATTTTTTTAAAAAATTACATCTATCATAGCCTGACTGATTAAATTCACAGCGCAAATTTTGAAGGAATTCCCCTGGTATGATGAACTCATTGACATCATGGGGGGGGAATCCAGCAATATCCCTCAAGACAGTCTCGTCACACCCGGGAGTAGACCACGCAGCAAAATATTTCTCCATCTCACGTACCGCCGGCAGCTCGTATTCCAACAGTCTGGGCTCTGGGAGCGCTCAGTTTAGTGCCCAGCCTTTCTCTCCTCAGCTTCCTCCTGCTGGCGCTCAGCCATACTCTCCTCAGCTTCCCCCCTCAGCTTCTCAGCCTTACCCGCCCTCTTACCCTCAACCTTACCCGCCCTCTGACCCTCAACCTTACCCCGCCCTCTAACACTCAACCTTACCCGCCCTCGGGCGCTCAACCTTATGCGCCCTCGGGTGCTCAGCATTACCCGCCCTCGGGCGCTCAACCTTATGCACCCGAGGGCGCTCAGCATTACCCACCCTCGGGCGCTCAGCCCCACGGCAGTCAATACGCGTTTGGCCATGCCCCTCATAGCCAGTACCCACATCACCACCAGTCTGGCGCGCCCCCCGCACGCTCTCGCAACGACCCCAACTCGCTTCTTGATGACGACGACGACGACATGGATTTCTCATTTGAAGATCTACCAAAGCCGACTCCCCCCCCCGCGACGTGATTACCGCGACGACCCTCACGCTATTATTCTCGACAGTCCGCCGAGGTCTGCACGCGCTGCATCCAAACGTCCGGCTCCTCCGTCGTCCCCTTCGCCCCCCATTACCCCTCCGCCTCAATCTCAACGATCCGAATTCATGCTGCCGCGCACATCGCAGACGTCTCACCGGGACAGTCGTGCATCCTTCGGGATGTCCGATCCGCAACGGCGCCCTAGCACGGGGTCGGTCAAAGCATCCTCTCGCCGCTCTTCAGGCTCTTCGCGCTCGAAGCCTGCGTCGGCGTCGTCAGCACCTGCATCAACGTCAATGACATCACCAGCCAATTCCGCGTCAGCATCCGCAGGAAAAACGAGGCAGGGGAAGAAGCAGCGGTCTGACCTTCAGAGTCAGGTTGACGCACTCTCTGACGAGATCGAGAGTGCGCAGTCGGACCGTGTCACTCGGGACGAACTCAAGAACGAGCGGTACATGGCCAAGTACAACTTCGCGCGCCAAGTCAACGAACACAAATTCCTCAAAGCCGAACGTGCGGATACTTTCGCCGAAGCTGCCACTGCGCATCAACGTGCCCTGGAGGCCAAGGAGTCTGAGATTCGTCTTCGAGAAGCAGAGATGAAGATGCACGCGGCATTAGCGCAAGCGCATGCGGAGGAGGCGGCAACCATGCGCCTCAAGATTGAGTTTGCACGTCTTTCTGGGTCTGGGTCTGGGTCTGGGTCTCAGGCTTGAGTGTGATGCTTTCAATATCTCTTTTGTTCTTGTTTTATGCTCGTTTTCACGCTACTGTCTATGTCACTCATATGTAACTCATACTCTGTTGTGGTACTTTACTATACAATGATGTCCTGGTGTTCTTGCAAACTATTGTTAGTCTTCTCTGCGTACTGCTTTGGTGTGAGGACTGTCAAATAAAAGATCCTTCAATCTCTCACGACGTGCATGACCTGGAGTCCCCTCATACAACCTATCACCTACTTGCCCATCCCCATCAGGTCCTTCATTTGCTGGGTGAATGTAATTATTGTCCTCCTGACGGGACCATGCCACTGAGCCAGTTGTTTCCGTAAGAGCTTGATTTTCTTCAAATCGGATAATCATGTTGTGAAGTATGAGGCAACACTGGATCCAGTGGACAGCTGCCTGCAAGTCATCTGCCGAATGGATATTCTGTCGGAGATCTCGAAGGGATTGAAACCGCCCTTTCAATGCAGCAAATGCATGTTCAACGCGAACACGGACCTAAATAACTTGTAAAATTTCAAATAATCAGGAAAAAAATAGTACAAACTTTGGAAAGATAATAATTGAATGTCCTCTGATTCAGCTGTCAGACGACCACCACGGGGCTTCTTGAAAGGGGGAATACACCAGGTGCTCAATGGATAAGCACTGTCTGCCCAAACCCAGTGATCAGCTGGCAGAAGTGTGCCATGCTCTTGATAGATACGAGTTGATCTAAATGCATATGCATCATGGACGCTTCCAGGGTGACCGAGAGAATAATCGACTATAAGAAGATTGTGGGGCATAATGACTGCCTTGAATTTATTTTAATTTATAATGGTAGAAAAATAAATAAAAAGCAAACTTACCTGACAGCCAAGGGAATATTTTGATTTCCTGTCATAAAAAGCCTCGTGGTAAAAACCCGGTGTGGCATACAAATCAACCGTTGTCCCATCAACAGCTAGGACACCATTCTGCCACTCAGGGCAAGTGGTAGCCTTTGCACTATACCTCCTGAGCACGGTTAAAATCCTCTGAATCATGGGGAGGGAAGCCCATGAACGCATCGTGCTGGTCAAGTAGGGCGACCATGACACGATTAGTGCAGTTAACAATGGAGCCAACACTGACCCCTGCCCACTGAGACACCTCCAGTAGGGAGATGGAGTTACCGTAGTGGCCAGCACGGTTAAGAAAGATTGCGAGTTGAATCGCAACAGGAAGCTGGGAGTTGTTTGAGTTGTTGTGAAAAATACGATGGCCAGAGATTAAATCAAGAATATTGTCGAAAATGTCTGGGTCGACCCGTAATTTGTGACGAAATAAGAGAGGGCGATGTTTCCCAAAATGAACTAGAAGGTGGAGTTGTGGAGCTCGTGGGAGAGGTTCATCAGGCCTGTGGAGTACACGAGCCTTCAAAACTTCATCCCGGAGAGTTGCAATGGAATCTTGCAGGCGATTATAGCAGGCGAGAGTATGATCATCATCATCTGATGAGATGTCCCCATCAGAAAAATCAGATAAGCCTGAGAAGGCTGGAGAAAGAGGCGAAGAGGGAGAAAGCATAATATCCATGAAAATATCAAGATCCGAGTTACGAGTAAGGTCCAACTGAGAGTCGAGGCTTGAGATCGAGTCCATAGAGTCATCATCTTCCATAACGTGCTGGTATCTTGCCCTGGCTACCACAAGGGCAGCCTGGTCAATATCATTCAGCATCTGTTGACGTTTGGATTGACGAGGCATGATGGGAATCAACGGAATCAACACCCCTATTGAGTTGGTATATGTGACGCAGCTTATAGCGGAGTTTGAAATTTCGGAAAGTTCCGATGTTTGATCTTGTGCTGCGCAAGTTGCTACCCCACACCCACCTGACCAGCGGCATCTCAACTTTGCCCGCATTTCTCTCACCTCTCTGGAAGTCGCGCCCCACCCACATCCACCATCCACCTCGTTCTCCGTCTCCGTGGTGGCATACAGATCTTCGTCAAGACCCTCACGTTGGAGGTGGAATCATCGGACACCATCGACAACGTGAAGGCAAAGATCCAGGACAAGGAAGGCATTCCTCCTGACCAGCGCCTCATCTTCGCTGGAACGTTGCAAGACAGCCGTACTCTTAGCGACTACAACATCCAGAAGGACTTGGAGGAGTCTACCCTGATCTTGCGTCTCCGCGGAGGCATGCAGATTTTTGTCGATGCCCTTGTCCTCCTCCCCCAGGTACTCAGCCTTACCCTTTGCCCCAGGTGCTCAGCCTTACCATTTGCCCCACCCCAGGTACTCAGCCTTACCCGCCCTCTGGCCCTCAACCTTACCCGCCCTCGTCCCCCTCGTTGCTCAGCATTAACCTCTTCCCCCGGCGCTTGCTGCGCTATGCCAGATGTCATTGATCACGCGGGGACTTGTTTTTTTTGCCAACTTTACATCTCAGTTGAATACACATGTCAGAGTTACTCTACCTAATGTATGACTTTGCCTGCATCTCTACCTAATGCATGACTTTTCCTGCATCCTCTCGTGAATTCTAAGTGTCGTTTGAATGTCCGATTTCATGCCGAAGTGTGCCGGTATGACTAATTTACGTGCTGCCGAGTTTTGCCAAAACTCTACCGAGCTTTACCGAGCTTTACCGAGCTTAGCGAAAATCCTGAATCTTACTCTGAGTGCACCTAATAATAGAACACAACAACAGGCGACGACGTGTTCGGACGCAAAGTACTTGCCTTTTTCGATCCATAACAGCTTCATGACCACTCGTCGGCGCAAAGTACATGCCTTTTTCGATCCATTGCAACTTCACGAGTCGTCGGCGCAAAGTACATGCCTTTTTCGATCCATTGCAACTTCATGATTACCTCGAGTCGTCGGCGCAAAGTACATGCTTTTTCGATCCATTACAGCTTCATGATCACCTCGTCGACGCAAAGTACTTGCCTTTTTCGATCCATCATGGTCATAATAAGTTGCACCTCTCTGTTCTCAGTATGAGCATTAGTCCGACATCTGTACGAGTCTTCTACTTCACTCCATGGCTTCACTCCGTTACTCTCAGGTGCGCTTTCAAAACTTAGGAATCCTTGCTGTCACTGACTGATCTACGCTTGCCTTTCAAGTTACATGTGACTGCTGATCCAAGAGCACTTGCTGAAGAACAACCCCTCCCCGAGGCCCTTCGTTGCACGTTCCTCTTGATGAGAGCACACTCTTTTTTTTCGATCACGCTAGATATCGCCGGTAGTCTTCACTTTCCACTTTGCTCCTTGTTTCACCCGCGGGCGGCGGTTTGTCTATGTTGTATGCTGTCATATATATCGGTAATGGTGCAAGCACCCACCCTTGACTCGTGTATTTTCGCTCCGCATTTTATTCCCGTGCTATATGTACATGATGCGTAGATACTCCATCCAATTCCAACTGTCCATAAACAAATTCATTAGAGAGCTGCACTATACAGTGAGAAATGATAAATTCGTTCCAGATTAGCCGTGCTCAATTCTACCTACCTCGGTGACTTGCTAGTCTACCGAGCTTACTTATTGCTGCACCTTTCGCTACCAACCATCATGGGTCCGCCTTCAAGCTCGTTTCTGTAGTTAGCATCGTCTACTTAGACTTTCCTCCCCGGACACCTCGAGTTTTTCAGCTTTGAGGGTCCGGGACTTGCATGATGTATTTGTTTCGCGGACACCCTCGAGCTTCACCTGCTAGCAGTAGTTACACACATTATTATGAAGCGATCCACTCGACAGGGTTCAAGAATGATTAAACATACTCCTACAGAGAAAGCTTTCAGATGATGGGGGAGTATGCGGAAGGCCACTAAAAGTTAGAAGACAAAGAGAAAAGGGAAAACTTACATGCATGAGGTAGCCGCGACCCGCAGGTGCATGAGGGGAGTGCGTATGCGTGAATATGAGTGACCCTGCAACAGGGGTTGTTGAATGCGGGGGATGCTAACAGGTGTGTAGTATTGAAAGGCAGCGGTAGGTGGAGGAACATAGTTAGCTAGGACATAGCAAGAGGCGTCGGAAGAAGTGTGGCACTTAAGTGTACGGATCTTCGGATCTTTGTAGAAAAAATCTCGTACGTACCGGTACGTAGGTACTGCTGTAGTAGTACATGATGCACGAAGTTGAAGTGTAACTTCCACCCGCTGTTACACTTGCCTAATCGAAATCGGTCGTGAGACTTGAGAGAGTCCTCTGCAGGACGCGGTGTTCAGTCTACTGGTCACCAATAAAGTTGTCCATTAAGAATCATAATCATACTTGTTCTCTTCACCACAGGGTTGCAAGCCATCAAAGCGACCAGAAAAAAGACTATGAATATACAGTATTGAGTTTCGATTTCGATCAACTATGGGAAGAATAGCCTGCACCCCAATAAGACGAACCATTTCCAGGAAGTCCGCGAGTCTCCAAGTCTTTCCCGTGGAGCACTTCCTGGATCATCTACATCGTGCTCTCCAAACTCCGGCGCTTCGTCATTGTCGTCCCAAGTGAAGCCCTACCGACCATGCCTGCCCTTGAATAGCGTGTTGAATATGGTCCACAGAGAACACATCTGTCTACCGCTCGGGAGACTGGGTAAGGATGTCAGCGATCCAGGTGACATGGAAGTGTCCATTCCAGCACTGGCTCTACCTGGAGACACAGGAGACTCGATGTCTGGTGGGGTCGTCGGTAGTGACCTAGATTGTGCCAGAGCCAGGAAAGCTTTTGCCTCTTCGGCATCGAAAGATTCTGGAGGGAGGCGTTCATTTGCGATGTCCGGCTTCCGTCTGTAAGATGTCATGAATACCGAGATCGTATGCAGGGAAAAAAGTTGTACGTACGCATCCTCGAAGTCGGAAATGGCATCTTTCATGCCCTCTGTACCCAACGCTAGCGTGCCATATGGCAACTTGCTAGATATACTCTTGAGCTCCGAAAACTTCTCCGACTCCTCTCTGCGCTAGATTCGTCAGACTAGCAGAACGCGTAGACAAGGATCCTATACCGGATCAGAGCAAACACACGCGCCGTCCGTCCAACTGCAAGGATCTTATTTTTATGATCTTCCGTCTTGCCTCTTCGTGGTGGGTTACTCGTGAAACAACATTTTCCTCGTCAGACTCTTCGAGTTCTTCTTTGCCGCAGGTATTTAGCACAGCGATAAGTACAATCCGTGACTATATGCGTCGCTCAGTTCCGGATAGACGCTCTAATAAGTTCCGTGAACGTACTTTTCTCTCCCACAAAGCGCAAACTCTATGTAAACACGTCCATGAACTTAGGTAGCCAGTACAAATGAGGAGTGCAGTTAAACCGCCGAATGTTCATCGCGTTGCTCTCATATTACACCCAGACGGCGGCTTTGTTGTACACGTCGAGGTAGCTGAAAAGATTGTCATGACAGAAGGAAAACTTGTGGTTTTTGTCTTCCGGCACATGCGATATCTGTTGAGCGACTACATGAGTAAAATGAAGGGCTGTGCAATCGAAACATACCCGGCATCTGCGCTTCGTACGCGCGAATGATCGAAAGAAGATTATCTCGCTCTAAGAACTGACAGGCAGCTTGGTAACTGCATGTCGAAGATTAATCGCTGTATATCGAGCACCTGAGATGACTCACGTAAAGAAGTAGGAACAACCCGGAACGTGATTATGAACGAAACTTTCATTCATCTTCTCTCGCCTAAAGTCTTCGACAGTATCCAACCATAGAAAATCGCACATCAGCCTATGTGTTGGAGGCTCGCGGAACCGGTCAATCTAAATGCGATATAAATGAATGTTGCGTCATGGAAGTTCTGCGAATGGACGTACCGCTCTGATATCATCCAAAGTGTTCAGCTCTGGTGAAAGACCGCCGTGGATGCATAGGAATTGCTTGTTCGTGATGGCAGAAAGGGGAAGTCCACAAAAGGATTCTATGCAAGCGTCATAGCTGCGCGCTGAGTACTTGTGTTTGCCTGAATGGTGTTAGTGGCCGATTCGGAGTGACATTCAAGCTTGAAAGTGAGATAATCTGTGAGATGACGGCAATATTCATGATTGCCACGGAGAAGGAAGAGGTATCGGGATACCAGATCTTGAGCTTGCAGAACACACTGCATGATGGAATGAGTTGGAGGAGTATAAATGCGGGACACCCCGATCAGCCGAACAGCTTCTATGACAGATAAGGTAGTACTAACGCCGATGCTTATAACCGCGGGGTATGAATGTGGGAACCAAATATAGACTCACTTTCTGTTCTCTGAGACTGAGAGTACGTCGTTTAGTTTCCTTCCCGTTCGCGTTTACGCTAATATGTACCTTAGTTTGATCACACTGTCTAGGTACACTAATATAGTCCGTTGAAAATTTGGCATAACTGAAAGCCATAGATTGCATGCATATATTTATCTACATTTTGAGTACACTCGTCTGCACCACATCAGGGAGGTTACATATAACATAGACAAACTACGGGTTAAACAAAACGCAAAGTGGAAAGTGTAAAATGGAAACTACTGACGATATCTAGCGTGATTGAGGCTTGTCGCATACTTCCACATAGTCTCCATCAATATTGTTCCAATGTTCACAACATATGTGACCATCCAGACCACAGTGATAGCGCGGCAGATTATGCTTTGAGAGGAAAAGCCTGCCATCAAAATCGCTGAGGGTGACATGTATCAGGGACAAGAAGAGTGCCTCAAATGATGAAACAACTCACCAAATATGAAACAATGTAGGGACCAGGTGACGAAGAACATGGGGGTGACTATTGATAACAGGTAGGACAACACGAAGTAACCGCCCAGCTTAAGTTGCTGATCATATTTAGGTCAGTCGGTGCAAGCGGGATGGCGAGAATAACTCTCACCTCTTGAGTCCAATGCCGATCGGTGTGTACCCAACGTATCATACTCGAGCCGGATGTTAACAGCGCGATCATAGCAAGCATGAGCGATATCAAGAGCAGACAGTGAGGAGCGGGTGATGTATAATCAAAGTATGGTACAGGAGAGCCGGTGGTGACGAAAACAACACTTGTAGCGAGGAGGACACTTGCCTTTTGTGGAGTATGTCAGCGCCGGCTTGAAGTCGCGCTGAGTGGAATAACTCACTGTGGTGATAGTGCTGGTCAGGATAGAGCACGACCTGCCCCTAACGGTTTCGAATGCTTCCTCGGATTGCAATGACTTCCAATGACCATCAAAATCCGGTTGTCCCAGTGCCAAAAAGCAGACTACCCTCATTAAGAGGGACGTGCGACGAAGAGCTTCGGGAAGGGGTTGTTCTTCAGTAAGTGTTCTTCTCCAGCTTCTTTCGCAATCAACATGTGCTCGTTCCCTCGGACGACCATGCAATGTCCCGCTTGCACTACTGGTTCAGGCCAAGCTTTCCTTCTCTTCCACCCACCCTTTCATCTCCGCCATGTTCAAGACTCGGAGAACCTAGATTCGTAATCAGTCTGGACTACGCCGGGTGTATAAGCCATGCTGGTCACGAGCCTAGGGTGAACCAATAATGGTTGTACTTACCTTCGGAAATCCGTACTTGCTGTGATACGTCGCTCGATCATGGTGTGAGTATTAATAACGCACTGGATTGGACGCCAATCCCTGCGAAAACGTAAGTCCTGACCTCGAGCTCCAGTGATATTATTTCACAGGCTATTCACTGAATTTCCCCGGGAATGTACTGAATGTAACGCTACTTTCACAGCCTCTGTTATTCACTTTTGGGGGTCGGTACCTGGAGACAGCGGCAGCTTGCACGCCCCCGGGGCGTGCCTCCTTTTCATTAGACTTCAGACGGTCCGCCAGAAGCTTCCACACATGTCTGTCCAGAAAGAAGCAGATTTTAGAGCCAAATGTCTGTCAAAAGATAGCCGATTTTTTTTGAGACCAAGCTGGCCCGAGGTTTGTCCATAGGTAGCAGATTTTTGACGGCCGGCCGGCCAACACGTGGGGCAAGTACTGTCGAACCTTTGAGCAAGAGACCGCAAATAGTGTTGTTGGTAATCACCTTGCTTGCAAGGTCATATGCATCCACGTTGCAGGGTGTATTCGTAAGCCTAATGGAAGTTTGGTATCCTTATTTTATCTGACAGTCTGAATGGTCTTGATTGTATACCTTCAGTGACCGCACGCTACATACGGGAGTCCTCGGGACGTGTGTTTACGAAGGTGACGTTTGCGTTAGATGATAGACGGATTCTATGCAAGGATGCCTTGCCACACCAAGACCTCGAGGCAATTGGCCGAGCTTGATTTTTTAGGTATTGACGTTTGCGTTAGATGATCGACGGATTTTATGCAAAGATGCCTTGCCACACCAAGACCCTCGAGGCAATTGGCCGAGCTTGATTTTTTAGGTATTGACGTTTGCGTTATATGATAGACGGATTTTATGGCAAAGATGCCTTGCCACACCAAGACCTCGAGGCAATCTGCCGAGCTTTATTCTTTAGGTATCGTTTGCGTTAGATGATAGACAGATTTTATGCAAACTTGAAGATGCCTTGCCACACTAAGACCTCGAGGCAATTGGCCGAGCTTTATTTTTTAGGTATTGGAGAGTGCTGCGATGCAGGGTCGGATCCGGAATCTCTGGCAGTCAATGAAGGTTAAAGGAAATGCACTATAATGGACAGGACGTACAACACAAGTACGTTAGGCTACACTGCAGTGCGACGTGCCGGCGACTGATAGACTAACCAAATATAACCAAATGTCATTAGATAATAACGATTTCAATTCTGAATGTTTGATCCGTCAAGTTCAAACATGTCTATGGAACTCGATGATGCTCTGGCGCAACTTACCATGAATAATATCATCGCAATATGTAAAGACAAAATTTTTCATGGAGCCAAGTGCTGTCCACCATTCAGTAGACTCGTACTCGCAGCCGCACAAGAAAAGTCAGTAATCGCATGGAAACAGTCTCTAAACACTCAGCAGAACCCTTATCCGTCTCCACGAAGCCATGCCTTCATCTTCAACCACACTTATATATGCTGGACCACGCTTTAAAAAACAGTTGAAAAGAAAGGCAATGAAGACCTTCTATCCCCGCCTATCGCGGAAGCAGAAGTTTTTCTCAGCGTCAGACTGGTGAAAAGGAAAGAATCTTCTTGGGTATGTAATAGACTCCTTGTCACACCTAAGCAAAACCAATCAAGCATGTTGAGTAATTACTCACATATCGATTACACGGACACAGGTTCATGTTGAAACACGTCCCTCCTATCAAGCACAATCATGGACAGTGAGATAGCTTCCTACCCAAATTGAGGAGGGAAGCTAACCAATTGCAAGAAAACGACGGGGCAGGTGGTAGTTTGATTGCAGATGATGTACCGGACATTTGGGACGGCAGCATCATTGACTGGAGTGAGCTAGAGAGTGTTGACAAAGGTTATCATGCCAACTGGCTTCGTCGAAGAGATCTCAATCGAGGCTCAGAGAGTGCCACGTGCATAATTGGGTGGAATATTGATGCACTTTTGACGTCAGAAGGCGTACGTAGCCTCAATATGATAGTGGTCGAAACTATCTTTGACCTGTACAAGCATAGTCGAGAAGAGCCAGATATGCTCACACGTTTTGCCGACGAGGCCCGGGCCAATTCCTATCTGCCCCTACACTCAAGGTCCGCAGCCTGATTGAGACCGATGGCAGACCAGCGCCTGAACTTTAATCTCCGTGCTTCTACTAGCAGCCTTCTCGAGTTATTTATGAATGTACTGATGCGCTATCGTAGCGGTGGCGAGCCTGAGCCGCCCGAAGCCAGTGCTTCCCTGACCCCCTTGGACAGGTCAATTCCTTTATTTGATTCCTTCCCGCGAAGGCTTATACACATTAATGTTCTACGATCTGTGCAATACACATGTCTCTACTCGTTTCTGGTGTGCGGGTGTTTCCCAGAGTCATGTTCGACACAGCAACCTAGAACAGCCAGGTCCCTTCAGACATACACAGGAACGGCCTTCCCGTCAACACCATCCATTCAGTCCTGTTCATTTCAGTCCGTCAACGCCTTTTGTATTCGCAAGCCATCGAGGTCGCCCAAAGTTACAGGTGATATCCTCTTACATTTGACCGGCCCCATATGATATCCCTGCGAAATCGTAAGTCCAGGACCTCTCAGTATCGTATAGTAATGCTACTTACCTCAAGCTGTTCGATAGATGAATTTGAATTTGTTTGCGCAACGAACATTTGTTTTTGGTTTCGGGCATCAGCAAGTGACTGTTTATTCAGCTTTGATGAGAATGTTATTAAAGATTCGAACCATAGCAGAGATAGCTTTGAATCAGGCAGCATGCTAGGGATGTCATGATCTAATCCATACATTAACTTGCACCTTTGATTTACAGGGGTTTTGAGAATATGATCACCGATGCGGCGTCATGAGGTTACACAGCTACAAAGCTTTGCTGGACGCTGGTCCGAAAGCCCATGAAGATCGAATATAACC